CATCAGCTTTAGGCATGAGCTTGTTCTTTCAACGAACTGAAAATCTCTCTTTTCTCAAGTGTCACCACACAAGATCACCAAGTTGAAATTGAGGCTTCTTTCTAGGCTTGTTTGCTTTTTGTTTGTAAGACTCATTCGATTCAAAACCTAAATACTATTAGCATGAACTTGTGTATTAAACGAGATTATCAAATGAGTACGACATCCAAGTAGGACTTCTTTAATATTGGACTTTCTTCAGAAAATGACACCAGAGCTAACAATAACTATATAAATTCTAAAATAAAGCAATAGAGAAAAGTCGACATTGAACGTAGAACAAAATCAAGGAAGCACCGGTAAGCTGTTGACATCAAACGTCTGAGTTGAATGCAAACAATTAAACCTTATATAGAACTATAAAAGTTATCAGAACACAAATAAAGCATATAAATAGACAACTCCAAACAATGAGATACAATGATAATCTTTCGACGTTAAATATACACTTCTGAGAGATCATCATCAACATACGATTCTTACGCTCTAAAATTGGCACCAAAAGAAATCATTGATGCCAGGGAACAACCGGATGCAACCATATTGAAAACCTATAACAACTGAAACCAAAACCTAAATAATGCTTAATTGCTTACATAGCTATAATATGCATCTGATGACATTGGACTCGAATTAAAATTAACTACAATTCATAATGGGCTGCATCATATTTGACTAAAATGACACATGAAGTAACAAGAAATATATAAATTTCCAAATAAAGCTAAGGAGAGAGTGAAACAAAACAAACAATTTCAGGCGCAAATCACTAATACAAAGGAATCTATCAATATCTAAATAAAACAGTTGGCGGTGCTACGTCATTATACTATGGGAAGTAATACCTGCTCTCTCTCTCTCTCTCTCTCTCTCTCTCTCTCTCTCTCTCTCTCTCTCTCTCTCTCTCTCTATATTTTCTTTTCATTTTCATAGTAAAACAATAAAAAATAATATAATAGTTTATTACCATAGATGGTACACGTCTAGAAGGTTATCATCACATGAGCTTAGACGAGACAAAAGGGTATCGTCCAAATTGTCTCCCTGTTATGAGGCACCAAAATAAAAATATTAAAGGGTATCGTCAATTATTGATGTTAACAATTGACCGACCACAACTAAAATAAAAATAATATGACAAATTAAACAGAAATCTAAAGAATATTAACAAAATTAGAATCCGCATTCAACAAGATAAAGTTGAAAAGATAGACAAAAGCTCGATTTCGATGGAAAATAGGACACCATTTAAGTTTAGCTCTATTGAGTTTGATCGAAAAAATAATGACATCATAGGTAACAACAAATATATAAATCTAAAAATAAAGCTAAGGAGCATGTCAACATTAAGTAGAACAAAGTTAAGGAACGTGGAGAAATCACTGATTTAAGCAGTTTAAATTGGATTAGATAAAACCATGACTTAAGATTAAAGACCAGCACAGAATAGATAAATACGACGGGGAACAAAGCTAAAGCATAGAACAAACAATTTCATACATACGGTAGTTTGACTATAGCTCTCAATTTGAAAATAACATCAATTTCAGTTTAACTAGAAAAAGGGAATTATGATGATATAAAATGTATTGCAATGTATCAAGACTTTTGGTATGGGTAATTACGGTGGAGGATGCGAGATCTGTGGATAAATTACGTAGCCTGTGTCGCATCAATGCATAGGTAATTATGACATGAATGGACATCCCTACGTTTGAATTAAAAAATTACTCTGACATCACAGATATACATGGAAATCGCGATTTAAAATGATTAGTAGAAAACAAGTCAAAGAATAAACGATTTCAAGCAAATCTTATAATAACTGAACAATTGTAGCAAAAAAACAAAAAACTGAACAATTGTAGCACGTGGGTGTCGTTCTATAATAAGAATTCTCAGTTGTCAAAAAAAAAAAAACTCGTTGACTTTTGTAGTGGTTTTATATATAGTGGTCTTTAAAAAATGCCCATGATAGCCCACTATTTTTAGGTAGACTGTGCTGACATCACACATTAGAAAATATATATATACACACTATGGCGATAGTATATATGTAGTTTTGCATAAGACACTGCTAAAAATTGAAAAATGACACAAATAATTCATAAACATTGGCTCAATGTGCAATATTGTCAGTAGACTTTTAATTCGTTCAATGTGATCATTGAAATAATATTCCTAAATTTCAATCTATTCCTTAAATTTTCATTTGTTCATCTTAATCTCTTAACTTTCGTAACAAGGTCAAATCAGTTTGCTGGTACTGTTCACAAATTTTCATTATTATACTATTCCCTAGATTTTAGAATATGTTTTCATTTCAATTCATTTCTTAAATTAACAAAAAAATGTTATTTTCTTATGACCTTTTTACCATTTGGTCTTTATAAATATTACTATAATTCCATTAAATTATATTTTAACTTATGATCCTCATAATACAAAGAATATAAAATCATTTAAAATTATATTGGATTCATATTTTGAAAAAACAATTATAAGAATATTTCATTAAGATATTAAGTTATCTATAGATTTCTTATAATTATATTAACATAAATCTTGTTCATAATGTTTTAGATAGATAAAATATTTCAAGATTTGTGTTTCGTGTTTTTTCAATTAAATTTAGTTAAATATGTGAATTAGGAAATTAAAATAGTCTAAATATCCACCCCGTATAACTTTAAATGAGGCTCTACTTTTACTATTGTAGATATATTAAGCTAAAATATATTTAAATAGAACTATTAATAATACTTATAAACATAAGAAAAGGTACACAAGTAATAAAAGATAGCCATTTTTTTTGTTTATTTAGGAAATGGATTGAAATGAAAAGATACTCTAAAATCCGCGCAATTGTTATCAAGAGTTTTGATTTTTTTTTTTTATGGAAAGTTGAGGGATTAGATTGAATAAATTGAAAGTTCGGGATTAAATTAAACATTTAGGGATAGTTCAAGAATCAAAATAAATGAATTAAAAGTTTAAAGATGACATTGTATATTAAGAGCGCAAATGACAACATTTCTTTTCCCAGGCCCTATTTTTGTTGGAAATTAAAAAATCTATTTCTTTTTTCCCGACGAGTTTCTAAACAAAAAGTAGTGTTTGATAACGACACAAAATTTATGTTCCCAGAATAGAAATTCGTTTGATAACAATGAAAATTTCTATTCTCGCCGGACGGTGAGTGGCGGTGGATGGCTGGCGAGCAGCGGCGAGGGGCGACAGTGGCGACCGTGAGCTGCGACAATGACGGCAGACGGCCGGCGAGCGACGACGGCAACGGGTGATGACGGACGGCCAGCTAGCGAGCAGCGGTAGGTGGCGGCGGACGGCCGACGGCTAGCGGCGAGTGAATGGCGGTGGGTGGCAAGAGTGAGAAATAAAATAGAGTTGTTATTTCTATTTCTGTCCCAGAAATAGAGTAAAACAATTTAACTTCTCATTTCTGTTCCAAATATATTTCTAGGCCAAAATTTGTCCCAGAAATAAAAAAAAATGAAATTATTTTACCAAACAGATTTCTGTTCCAAATATGTTCTCGAGAACAAAAAAATAGAAAAACAAGAAAACATGATGGTTATTATTCGCACCCTAAACTTAATTTATAGACCATTTGTGTCATTTTTTCTATTAGAAAAGAGCACTACAGGTGATGGGTAGTAAGTCATATGCCTTTGGTAAACTTTTTTACTTTCAAACTAGACTGTGCGGACTCATATTTTGTAGTTTGCTACTTTAACATTATATAATTGACAGTAAGCTGTGGCGATATATATTTGGTCTTAGGGGTGTGGTTGTTTAGAATTAAGTTTGTGCAGAAAGTAATTTTCTACATTCCCTTCAAAGTTTAAACTATTATTCAAATTTCAAAAAATTTTAAAAAAATTTAAGTGAATCTATGGACGGGATGTTCAATTCGAGCTATAACTACTGTTCATTTTACACAAGCACATCATTGCTGCACGATGGGATGCAAGTTAGAATAAAACCTAAAATATCCTACACCTGGTAGTCAAGCCGTTTCTATGCAGTAGAAGAATTAGGATTCATCGGCACAAACTTTTTTTTTTGTCTATCCTATCTCTAATCCTGCTCACTGTTTGACTTTTTTTGCTCTGTCTCTTGCAGAGCACGGGAGTCGAACCCCACACCTGTGATACTAGCGTCCCCACCCTCCTCTCCCAATCTCTTTACCAGCTAGGATACATGCCTATTGGCACTGGCACAAACTTAATTGCCATTGAAAATCTTGTCAATTGGTCACATCTCTCTGTCATATATCTTTAAATTTTAGCTACAGTAGCTATTACTAACTCCAGGATGACTTGTCCCATTTTGTCGTGCAACTTGGAAGTAGGAAGGTCTCCTACCCTCCTGACGGCTGTCCCCTATTACATATATTAAGATTGATCTATAAATTAAACCAATATACTATGGGATGCAATTTTGATTGATTGTCAAATATGAATCTTATAATATCTATTTCATTCGATTTGACGCACTATGCGTTTCTCCTTAAAGAAAGACTCATAACTAGCCAAGTGCTACAACTTATATCATGTTGAGAACATCAAACTATAACAAGATACATCAATCGAAATTGGACACATAACTATGTGGTTAGTATGAAACTAAGTAGTGGACAAGCGTTATAATTTGAATGGAGGACTTCGCCGTGGTAAGGCAAATTCAGAAAATCATAGGAACTTCCATCGTCCAAGAAATGATGGCGGCTTGGGAGGAAAAAAATGTGGTCAACGATCTACCTGTCAAAAGTATGCTTTGGTTTTCTCCCAGAAGTCTCTGCTGTAATATTTTAATCAGAGCCAATAACTACAAATGTCCCCACCAATGGATGGTGCTACTGCTATATAACCGAAGTAAAATCTCCTACCATCTCGCAGATGACCCCACATAAGAGAGTTCACCAAAAACCCATGAATGCCATGGGGAATTCACATTGGTTGCTTGCTTTCTCACTGTTCTTATCCTTTTCGTTCACATCTTCCATTCGTCTCACTTTGCAAGATGGCTCCTCTCTTTCCGTTGGGAATGCGGATGACGTCTTGACATCGAATGATGGTGCTTTCTCCGCCGGCTTTTTTCCCGTCGGACGAAATGCTTATTGCTTCGCGATCTGGTTTAGCAGGCCATCTTGCAGTATCCCTAACTGCTCTGTAGTTTGGATGGCAAACCGTGACGAACCCGTCAATGGAAGATCCTCCAAGCTTTCTCTAAGAGAGAATGGTGACCTTCAGTTGATCGACGCTGGGGGGACAGTTGTTTGGTTCACAAACACAGGTTCCCCCTCAAGGTCCTTCATGAACTTGCAACTCCTCGACACGGGAAATCTTGTTCTTCGTGACGACAAGCATGCCACTTTGTGGCAAAGCTTTGACTCGCCAACTGACACGCTTCTTCCAGAACAAAAGCTCACCCCAAACGCACCGCTCATTTCATCTCGAAGCAAGAACAACTTTTCTTCTGGTTATTACAAGCTTTACTTTGATAACGATAACCTTCTTCGTCTTCTCTTCAGTGGCCCTAAGATTACAAGCGTCTATTGGCCAGATCCATGGCTTAATAGTTGGGAGGCTGGAAGAACCACTTATAATGACAGTAGAGTCGCAATGCTTGATCACTATGGGAATTTCAATTCATCTGACAGTTTGACTTTCTTAACAGCTGATTACGGTGCAAAAATTCAGAGGAGATTGACGGTTGATCACGATGGTAATCTTCGGGTTTACAGTCGATCTGATGCAGGGGGATGGATGGTTTCATGGCAAGCCAAATCTGACCCATGCACAGTTCATGGCATTTGTGGACCTAATAGCCTGTGTACATACCATCCTAGCGAGGGAAGAAGTTGCATTTGTGTTCCGGGATATGAGTGGGAAAACCTTTATGACTGGACTCAAGGATGCAAACCCAAATTCAACAGCTTCTGTGATAGCAAAGTCGAGACCGAATTCGTTGAGTTACCACATTCTGATTTTTACGGGTATGACAAAGGCTTCTTCCCAGGTTATACACTCGAGATGTGCAAGAAGTTATGTTTGGATTTGTGTAATTGCTTAGGTTTCCAGTATAAATCCTCTAACTGTTACCCCAAGGTATTGTTGTTAAATGGCCATTATTCACCCAGTGTTGATGGGGGCATCCACTTCAGGCTCCCAAAATTCAATCTCTCTTCTTCCGACATACCGAAAATAGAACATGCCACTCTGCATTGTACTGCCAAAGAAATTATTCTACCAAGGACTTATCTAAAAAGACAAGAGAGTTGGGCAGTCAAGTTTTTGCTCATTTTTGCTGGGGCAATAGCTGGAGTGGAGGCGATATTGGTGCTCATGGTTTGGTTCTTCTTATATAGAACCCGCCCAGAGAAAGGTGGGGCTCACACCGAAGGATACCATGCAGGGCTGACTGGATTCCGACGGTTCACATACGATGAGCTAAAGAAGGCAACACAGAATTTCAGTGAAGAAATTGGAAGAGGAAGTGGAGGAATCGTATACAAGGCGGTGTTGTCAGATTGCAGGGTTGCAGCAGTCAAGCTGCTTAATGAGGCTAACCAAGGAGAGAATGAGTTTCTCGCAGAAGTGAGCACCATAGGAAATCTTCACCACATGAACTTGATTGACATGTGGGGGTACTGTGCAGAAGGAAAGCACCGGCTTCTGATCTACGAATTCATGGAACATGGTTCGTTAGCAGAAAATTTGTCTTCCTCAACTGAACTCGATTGGTCCAAGAGGTTTGAAATTGCCGTAGGATCAGCCAGAGGACTCGCTTATCTTCATGAGGAATGCCTAGAGTGGGTTCTTCATTGTGATGTGAAACCACAAAACATACTACTTGATTCCACATACCAACCAAAGGTGGCGGATTTCGGACTCTCTAAGATACTCAAGAGAGAGGGCCTCAAGAACTCGAGCTTCTCAAAAATCCGAGGAACAAGAGGTTACATGGCTCCCGAATGGATTTACAATTTCCCAATCACCTCCAAAGTGGATGTGTATAGCTATGGAATTGTCTTGTTGGAGATGGTGACGGGAAGGAGTCCCACTGGAGAGTATGACAAGATTGAGTGTAGTGATGTGCGGGAGACTAAAATACTGACATCGTGGGTGCGAGAGAAGAAGGGACTCGGAGTTCCAATGCAGACATGGATAGAGGATATTGTGGATCCAAGCGTAAGAGGGGGATATGACATTAGGAAGATTGAAGTTTTAGTTGCAGTTGCTCTTAAGTGCGCGGAGGAAGACAGAGATGCAAGACCCACCATGAGCCAGGTGGTTGAGATGCTTCTACATTGTAAAGACGTAGATGCGTAGTCAGAAAATGATAATAGCTTTGGTCCTTAGTTATGTCTATATATGTCATCAATAAAAATACAATTGTAGGTCCACAGTCTTTGCATACCTAGAAGTATAAGGCAGTAGTTTTTGGATGCCATCATTTTGGATGCACGAAATTAAGAAAGATAGTTTCACTTTGCCTGTGTGCATTTTGCATATCTATAATTGCATATCTAATAACTCAGTGGAAACAAATCTATTATGTATAGCTAAAATCGGAGCTAAGAAAATGCTCGCTTATATGCTCGTCACATGACACGTAACTTTAACTCTGTGGTTGCCACATAACGAACCACATGGGATACCCTCCATTTATTAAATTAGCATTAGTTTAGTGGTTTGCTGGACTCAACTTCTATCACTTATTGAATATAAATTAAAAATTTGATAAGAAGAAAGTGTATTCCAATGTATTCTTGTATGTATTCCACCAGAACAAAAGTTGCGACTTATTTGAAAGTTCACATTTTATTTAGTTTTAAGTCCTTTTAAAATCCACTTATTTCATATATTACTTATATGATTTGATGCATACCTTCAGGTCTGATCTATAAAGAGGATCCATATTTGGAGATGTTTGAGATTAAGCCATCAAGGGCCTTTAATCACGCCTGAGAAAAAAAGAATAAGAGGATGTCTATGATTTGATATTGTAATTAGAGATTGAACTTTCTTCATTAAATGCAATTCATATACATCATTTGATCTAAGATAGAAAATTTAATTTGTGTACAGTTAAAGTCGAAACTGAGTAGATGTTCGCTCTCATTTTACTTTTGCGATAGTCATGTGCTAAGACATAAGGCAAAATTTCGGCATGTGGCCCAAATTCGATCAACAGGTTATGAATCCGTTGTTCCAAACTTCTTTCTTTTATCAATGATGAAGAATCTAAAATGATATATTTATTCAGCCCTCAATCGAGACATGATAATGTTTCATCTGAAGATAGAAAGACGCTAACTCAAAACCTCATCAGTATTATTACTTCGTTCGAGCATCATTTGGCCGTCCTATTAGTACTAGGTGTGTTTCCTAGAGACACGCGGAATGTGCATCCATCATCATAGTTCTCTCTCATTCACAAAAACAAACAAATGGGATAAAAAGGCAAAAAAAAAAAAAAAAAAAAAAAGGAAAGATTTTAGTTGGTGGGGTAGCTGCAAAAGGATCCATGGGCCTTGATGGAATATGCTATGAGGATGTTCTGGTTGTATCCTGCTGCTGCTGGTGCCTCACAAATTGTCCAAACCAGAAGATCCACTGCTCATGAACGTCCACATTCACAAATATCAATTACTACTAGCCTAAAATCATCATCTCTTGGCAATAATATCAAGTCCAAATGCGCACATAACATCTTTGGATAAAAGGGTTCATCAAACCAAAGGAACCAAAGTTCTCGCTGCCCTAAATGCAAATGATTTGCATGTTTTAGCTAGCTCCTAGTGTTATTCATGTAGTAAAGCTTGGTTTAGAGAGAGAGAGAGGCTTTACCTGGTCATCCCAGACTTTATGGTTGTTGTAGATAATAGCAGCACCAAAGCTCCTAGCCGAGTAGATGTGACGCAGCCTGTATTCAAGACTAGCTCGTTCAGCTAAGAACGGCTCGTATTCAAGATCGACAAACATCAAGAGTCTCATCGATAAGTGAAAAGCCTCATCTTTAACTTTGTCACGTAGACTTTGTCCTTTTTAATGTTTCGAAGCTTGCATCACGAATCCTTGAGACGGTCACAAGCATTGGAAATATTGTACATTTAATAACTTCTAGTTTCTAGATTTGCTGTTAGTCTATTGCTTTTTCTTGTACTGTAAAAGGCCATCAAGTTTATGTACGAAGATAGATTGAATTTGATTAATGAAATTTACTTCTTGCAACCTGACAAGTAACATTCGTCTACTTCCTTGTGAAATCGACAGCTCCACAGTACTTATCTGAGAAAACTCAAAACACAAAAATTGTAGATCCAGGAGTCTTCATTCTTTTAGGTTTGGAATCAGGTCAATTCGATCTTAATTGACAAAGTTATAACTATTTTCCCGAACTAGTGCAGAACTGAAATTTTTGCTCACATTTGTGACAGAATTTCCGTGTGTGCAAGTCACTCTCCCGATCCTATTGTTCAAGCAGTCAACTCGACTACTCGAACAATAGGATCGGGAGAGTTTAAGTATCACCACTGCATTATGATCTCCTAGTGGTGGTAAATGTAACGTTTTATTTTCCTCACCACTCAAACCTAACAGCGCAGCAAATCCAGTGGTCCTATGTATTATTCTTAGTAGATTTTCTTCGCTAGTGCCTGCCATTAACGTGAAGATGCGAACACAATAAGCACCTTTAAACGCTTGCCTTGATATTTGATAGTGCTCTATCCACAGGGATGAGCGAGAACTGGAGGAAATAATGTGTACACTAACCTCAGCAAATACAATATGGAGTCGAAGATAGTACAGGAAATAAGAGCTGCCTGGTAGCATCTGTTGTTCATGTCAAACGATTTCGGGAAAAAAATACTTCCCCATATGAAAGACTAACCAGACTATAACATCGCCGACAAAATGGCACCTACTTCTACTGTTGGCCGCAATGAAGGCTGTCCATCGCTTGATCGATCGATACATTCCTGTTGCAAATCAACATATATAATCAGTGGATAGACTAGTCGCTTGGATTTGCTTGGGAAGCAAGTCAAACGACATAAAAAAGAGCTTACCATGCAGGCAAGCTCCCCGAAAATATTGAACATTTTCATATAGTTCAGGGACTAAGTTGAATATGTATCAAAAGTTTAGGGATCACATTGAATAAATTAAAAGTTTAGGAAACACATTACATATTTGGCTAAAGTTCAAAAATCATATTGAACAAATTAAAAATATATAGACTATTTGTGTCATTTTCCCTCTTGAAAATTATGGCAAAACTAACATCTTCAAGAGACTGCGGCTTTATAAATTTTTATCTCTAACTTTTCTTAAAGTCTAAAAGGCCTGCTCGATGTGCTCATACAAGAACTTCACTAAAGACTAGAATTTTATGTTGGATTTCTCGCGGCTTTCATTGGACAAACCGACAGAGCTGGACTATGACGCCCCCTTCCCTTCTTTCCACGCCGTTTCTCCACCGTTGACGTGAAAGAAAATCTTTCTTGAGATGTGGTTTTCAACACTTAGATTCGACAAACTTTTTGGATCTATAAAGTAAAGTTTTATGATTACGACTTGAGTTCAAAAATCTGGTTAGGCAGTCCAAAGATATAATAATACTTCATGATATAACAATGGAACATATACTTTACAATATGAATCATACACATTAACTACCAAGCCAATTTCATGGAGTTGATACTTATATTTATGATAAATATTTTTCATTTATTCATATTTATAAGCAATATAAGCGAATTATTTTTAGGAAAATATTTTTCGAAGTTCCTTTATTGTTTGCAAGACAAATCCACCCTTAATGCTAGGCATAAGCACATTGGAAGTACCAAAAGTTTCGTACGACGCCAACTTTGGTGCTAAAAGATTTTTTCGGATAACTTATGTACAACTTAAAAAAAAAATCACTTAAATGCCAACTTCAATTTGAGTTGTCCGAAATCCGACGTGACCATATTTTATCAATTTCTCTGACTGACATGGCTCGTCGGCATACCTAGTTAGCATATATACCCTTAAACAACATTGTCTACGTGTTTTACCCAAAATATAAATCCTAAATTGAACAATCAAGCATTTTCCCAAATTCGAAACCCTAATTCGATTTTTTTGGGGCACATCCTGCAACCTAATTCTTGCTATAGACAGCTCCAAAATGAACAGCTGAAGCTTGAAATGGAGAGCAGGAGCACCACAAGTGGCTCAAATTCGTTTCAATGAAGCTTCGGATTTGGTGGACGTCATTGAGAAGGGGGACCTTGGGTTTTCTCAACGAGAGCGGTGTAAAGATTTTAGTGCGAAAAGAACACAGCTAGAACATGGAGCTTCGGATTTTCTCTGCTCGTGACTACTCTTCATTATTCGTTGTCGTTCACCTCATTGCCGCTCCTTTTGAGAAAGCACAGAGAATACTCTGTTTCTCTCTGTTTTTCGGCCACTGAAGTCGATCTTAACCGGAAAAAGCTTCCAACACTCCCTCCTGTCATCGCAACCTTAATCACGATCAAGATTTCTCTTCGGTAAGGAATCGAGGTGCTAAAGTTAACGGCCACAGGTAGATTGCAAGGCCTCCTCTTCCTCCTCCAAACTTGAAGAATGGGTCCGTTCTTTGCCCATGCTTCATATTTCACTGTCCTGAGCTACAGGGAACGAGAATCGAAGCGTCACGAAAGCGAACTCCAAGCTAGGACAGAGCTCCGTCTCTCCATGTGAAAGCAGAACTTTATGCCTTCATCTCCACAAAGAGAGAGAGTGTGTTTTCCCTAAATTAAACTATGTTCGTTTAGTTTATTTTGCCAGAATGGAAAAAATATCTCCACGTTGGACTTCAATTTCTTTTAAAAAAGCCACGTCGGAGCAAAATATTAATTTGAAAAGCCACATGGAACTTTTTACCGGAATTTGTCACCGGAGACACTTAAGTAAAATCATAGAGATTATTTTTTCTTCGATTTGGCATTTAAGTGAGCCGGCAAAAAATTTTAGTAACAAAATGAACGCCGTATGAAATATTTGATACTTCTATTGTCCTTATGCCCTTAATGATAAAATCGCATTCCAAATTTGTCTTGCATGACCTAAGTCCAAAGAAGGTCTTCATTCACTAGTCTTGCTCTCCAAGAATTAGTGCTATTTATTTTCGTATATGGTTAAGCTATTATCTTAATTGTGAGGAAAGCGAACCGTGAAACGAAGTGAACTTCTTCCTCTTTCTTCCTCTTAGAAAGCTTATGGCCGATCGACTCTGAGGTCAAAAGTCCGCTCTCAATTCCCCAAGCCAACTTCCATCTTGTCACAAGAAAAGGTAGGAATAATATTTGAATATTCTTATTTGGAAAATAAAAATCAAGGTAATCCTGATATGCATTCTTGGGAAAGAAATATTGCAAATTTAAACTTAAATTGAATATTGCATATCTCTATAAGATATCCAACAATTCTCTTGTCAAAATAAAAAGGGCAAAAGTTGGCTAAAGTCACCAAAATTCCTAAACTATACTCACCGACACATTTACTTTAATTTTTTTTCATAATACAAAAAATCTCAAACTTGTACCCGTGTGACACATTTACCTTCATTCAAAGTTTAAGAATCATTAAAAATTTGCCTAAATGAACGCTACAAAACAAAAAAATGCTGGCATGGCACTCAAGTGACTTAAGTGAAATAAAAACGACGTTCTTTTGGCTAAAAAGTCATCTGAATGAACCTTAATGGAGGATAAATGCGTCGCATAGGTACAAATTTAGGGTTTTTTTAAGGCACAACAAATGGTTTAGGATAAATATATCACATTAAGCATAGTAATGAGTTATAGTGGGCATAATTTGAGGGTTTTTTGTGGTTTTTTCTCAAATAAATAAGATGTGCTACATGATCATGAACGATGAGACACCCATCAACCCTTGTCAAAATAATAAAGGTACACACAAATTATTGTGCTAACATTTTCCACACCAAGTCAATGGCACAAATGGGTATTCCAATAATTGGAGGAAAACTATGATTTCTGCTTTAATATTTCTCAGTTGTTTATATTATATTGTGTGCTCGAAATATTCCATTTACTTATATCATAATTCAATAAATATTGCAATTTTATGTCCCATATTTTCTTTTAAGCCGAGAATAAACCTAAATGACGGTATTCGGATCTACTTTAAATAAAATTCCTCATAAGCTCTAGCGAAGAATTCGAATGATGTGAATATTTATTTTGTTATAATTTTTTGCATATTATTTTTCTTGCGATTGCAAGAGCATCTTCGTAATTGGATATTAAACCATGCAGCATGACTATACTGGATACTTTTAAAAGAAGTCGACTATCTCGTGCGTCGAATGCACTTCTAGACACTTCTCTGCCCAAGTTGTTTGTATAATCATACTGTCTGCCGTGTAATTCACCAGCCATGACCAGAAGTATTGTCTCCAAACAAATTTCTGTTCTTATTACATACATTAGACTGGCATACTGATTATTCGCACCAAACGTACAGATGAACAAGAGAGTAATACTGCTCGTTGCTGAATGATCTTTCCAAGGAACACATACTAAATGATCATTCCAAATTTGTAAGGACAAAACAGAGATGAAAGAGAAGTTGCATACTAATTGATCTTTCCTAGCTTTATTCATCCAAAGACTACTACCTTGTCATCGTTAACTAGTACAGAAATACACAAGAGGAGCTATGCTTTTGTCATTACACAGCCCCATTTTCATGGCGCAGAAGCATCTCAACCACCTGGCTCATGGTGGGTCTTGCATCTCTGTCTTCCTCCACACACTGAAGGGCCACCGAAACCAAAACTTTGATCTTCTTAATGTCCAAATTCCCTCTTATGGCCGGATCGAGATATTCCGTTATCCATGTCTCCATCGCAACTCCTGGTTTCATCTTCTCTCTCGCCCAAGAAGTGGATCTTTTGTACCCGCCTTTTACTTCTCCATAGATTGCATGACCTCCGCTCGGGTTCCTTCCAGTGAGCATCTCCAACAGGACGATTCCATAGCTATACACATCCACTTTTGAGGTGATTGGCAAGTGGTCAACCCATTCAGGAGCCATGTAACCTCTTGTTCCTCTGACTCTTGAGAAACTGGTATCCTTAGGGCCCTTTCTATTAAGAAGCTTAGAGAGCCCAAAATCCGCCACCTTTGCTTGGTAATTGGAATCAAGAAGTATATTCTGTGGCTTCACATCGCAATGGAGAACCCATTCTAAAAACTCGTCATGAAGATAGGCAAGCCCTTTGGCCGATCCTACGGCGATCTCGAACCTTTTGGTCCAGTCAAGTTGTGGGGAAGAAAGATTTTCAGACAAGGAACCGTGATCCATGAACTCATAAACCAGGAGCCTGTGCTTGCCCTCTGCGCAGTACCCCCACATCTCGATTAGGTTCTTGTGATTCAGATTACCAATCGTTTTCACTTCAGCCAGGAACGCCTCTTCTCCTTGGTTAACGCCGTACAGCCGCTTGACTGCAGCTACCCGGTGATCCTGCAAGAGGCCCCTGTACACAATCCCCCTGCTTCCTCTTCCAATCTCTTCACGAAAGTTTTTGGTTGCTTTCTTTAGCTCGGCATATGTGAATCTCCTGCATCCTGTCGCTGCAGGATGATATCCGTTTACATAAGCTCCACCTTTATGGCGACCAGCTCCAATCAAGAAGGACCATGTGAGGAAGACAACAACAGCTTCCACTACAGCTAATACCGTAGCACAAATGAGCAGGATCTCAAGTACCAGATTTCTGTGACTTTTCAGATAAGTCCTCGGTAAGATAACTTCTTGATCTTTCGGTGGGCAGGGCAGCGTATTGAATTCTTTCATGGGTATTTGATAAGAAGAGAGATTGGCTTTTGGTAGTTTTATATACATGCTCCCAATTTGTTGCAACGAAAGACATCCATTTAACAGAAGTATCTTGATGTAACAATCAAAAGAGCCAGTGTCCTCGTTAAATTTGTATTGAAAACCTCTGCAGTTGCAAAGATTCACGCACATTTCCTTGCACGCCACCAAGGTAACGTTCGGAAAATAGTCGATATCATATCCGTAGAAATCATGATGAGGCAAAACAAGGAAATCGACCTGAGTTTCGGAATTCTTGTTACAGAAGCTCTTGAATTTTGGCACACATCCTCGAGTCCAATCAGTTTTATGTTTCCACACATATCCAGGAGCACAAGAGCAACTCCTTCCCTCACTTGGGCTGTAACTGCAAATGCCATTTGGTCCACAAATCCCATGAACTGTACATGGCTCAGTTATGGCTTGCCATGTCACAACCCATTCGCCTCCTCCCCCTCTGCTATACACCCTGACATTACCATCATGATCAACCTTCAGTATTCTTTCGGTTTTCATGCCGAAATCTGATGACAGGAACTTCAGATCGTCGGATGAAGTGAAATTCCCTAAGGAATCGAGCATGGCAACTCTACTGTCATTGTAGGTTGTTCTTCCTACTTCCCAGCTCACTTTGCTCGGGTCTGGCCAGTACACACTCGAGAACGAAGGCCCATCGAAGAGGAGACGAAGGACGTTGTCGTTGTCGAAATACAACTTGTAATAACCTGAAGAGAAATTGCCTTTGCTCCGAGAGGAAACCAGGGGCGTGTCCCTAGTGAGGTTCTGTTCCGGAAGGAGCGTGTCAGTCGGAGAGTCGAAGCTTTGCCAAACCGTGACTCTGTTTTCTCTGTCCCGAAGAACAAGATTACCAGAGTCTAGGAGCTGTAACTGATGAACCGGTGAGGATGAGAGTGAGACTGTGTTTTGAGCCCAAACAATTGCCTGGCCGGCGTCAGTTAGCATGAGATTGCCATTTTTCTTTAGGGAAAGCTTTGAGTGTCTTCCATTGACGGGTTTATCGCGGTTTGCCATCCAAACAATGGTGCAATTTTGGCCGCTGCAAGGTGGCCTGCTGAACCAGACGGCGAAGCAGTAAGCATTTACACCGACGGGGTAAAACCCGGCGGAGAAGACTCCAGAGTTTGAGATCAGCACATCATCGGGATTGTCGACGGAGAGGGAGGAGCCTCGGTGCAAAGCGAAACGATTTGCAGAGGAAGCTTGAGAAGATATGTGAAGAAGGGAGAGAACAAGCACAAGGAGAAACGACGAGTTCCTCATGGCTAGCAAGGAAACAGGTTGCCTTGCCTTGGCTTGTCACTGAGATTTTTTAAAGCTTTTAGCTTTCTTTGGAGAGTGAACTGGCGTACAAATCCATGAGAAAGTCCGATGCTGAATAATTTGTTCACAGTGTACTATGTGATAAGCACTCGTTGGGTGTTCATAAAATGACTTGCTAATCTTTTTTCTTTTGCATAACCAATTATACTTTGTTGTATTATTTGGTATATCAAGTCTCTACATGCTTTGAAAAAAACGAAAAAGTCTCTACATGCATTTGGGCGACATTAAATCACTTGACGAGGAATTGATACATCATATTACATAACAAATTTAATCTCATAGGACGTAAAACAAATCAAAAAATAATTGATGTCATGTGTCATAAAGAAAGTAAATGAAAACTATTTGAAGATAGGTAAAATAAGAGAGTTCTGTGCAAGAATTGTTTGTCCTATCACTTCTTGAAATCAATGAGATGCAATTGATGCACAACAATGCACAAAAGTTTGTTTGTCATTAGATTATTGGATCAAATATTAATCCATCAACATTATAGTAAATGATTAGGTCATTTGATTAATTACTTCATTTTAATCTAATATTTCAGTATAAAATGACAAGACCAAATAGATATAAAAAAATCCCAAATATTCATCCATGGGGTTCATTAAAAAATGCTAACTATCTTTTATGCTTTTCTATTTAAACTAATGTATTTTTTATTGAGAATTCACCACTTTTTTTAAATATTTAAAGAGGAAAAATAAATAGAAAAGTTAAAGCTGTGTGAGGTGGAGTGGCATCCATATAATAGACAAACTCTTCTCTTTTTTTTTTTTTTGGTAGTAGGTTATTGTTTAGAAATAAGAAAGGAAAAGACGTAAAAAAAAAAGCACTTGAGGCCTCCATGGATTACTGAAATACTATAATAGTATTAGATTAGATTTACATAAAAAAAATCTAGACATTGTTTTTATTTTTTAGGTACTAGGACTAAATCCTTACCTTGAAATCACCGTTACAAAAAGATTTCGATAGTAGAAAACGAAAACAAAAACAAAAGAAGACAAGAAGAACTTAAACATTTTCGCGGACGATGAAAATATCTATCGCTCATTTATTTTTCTGAGCGATATAGACAATCATTTTTAGTAAAATGTTTTTCAAACCATTTATTTTTGGGTTAATATCACGAAAAACCTCAAACTGATACACATGTGACAAATTTACTCTAAACTAATTTTTTGATCACCAAAAACCCCAAACTAGTACACTTGTGACAAATTTATCCTCAGTTAAATTGGATTAATACCATGAAAAATCAAAAATTAGTAAATCTGTAACAAACGGAAGGGTAAAACCCCAACTTAGTACGCCCATCAATTGCCACGTGTCATCCAACTTAGTAATTTGACTGTAAAATTTAACGAAAACTAATGGAGGGTAAATTTGTCATAAGAGTTTAGAGTAAATTTGTCACAAGCGTATCAATTTGGAGTTTTTCATAATATTTACCCATTATTTTTCTAAGAACAAACGCACCATTAACACCTATTTAGCCACCTCGAGAGCAGCCACATTTGAGTCGCGTCTCATCTAGCAAAGGGACAAGAATATCCGCAGCAAGACCTTTCTCGGTTGGTCACCTGCGTGCAAATGACAAAAGAGTAGACTCTAAGGTCAAAATTGGAGTTCCAAGTGAGGCTCTCCATTTTCTTTCCACATGGGGAGAGAAATGGCGATGGTGGGAGCCCAGCCAAAAGTTTTTCGTCCTCAATGCATCCCGTTCCAAGATTCTTCCCCCTTGGTAGGGTTTCGATTGGGTCTAGTCGATTCAGTGTCGAATTCTTAACGTGAATTGACTCGTATGTTCGGTACTTGAAACTCAACTCGAACGCAATCGAATATAAAAATTGTACTTGAACTCGACTCAAATGGAAATGACAATTATTCGAGCTCGACTTGAACTTGACTTGATTATATTGGAGTTATACATAAGCTCATGCTCAATCTCTAACTCGAGCTTCAAAATCTCGACTCGTCTCCTGGAAGTTATATATATGCGGGCGCAACAGGTAATGTTAAGGATTTCTCTATGTACTTTGTATATTATAAAATAGGGTTAATACCATGAAAAATCCCAAACCGGTACACTTTTGATAATTTTACCCTAAACTAATTTTTTGACAACCAAAAACCCCAAACTGGTGCACCTGTAACAATTTTATCCTGCGTTAGTTTCCGTTAAATTTTAGTGTTAAATTGCTTTGTTAAATGACACCCGGTAGTTGATGGATATACCAGTTTTTTTGTTTTACCCTCCATTTATCACAGGTGTACTAGTTTGTGATTTTTTTTTGCATTAATCCAATTTAATTGAAATTAAACGAAGGTAAATTTGTCATAACTGTATCAGTTTGGGGTTTTTTATAGTCAAAAAATTAGTTTGGGGTAAAATTGTCACTGGTATACCAGTTTGGAGTTTTTGGTTGTCAAAAAATTAGTTTGGAGCAAATTTATCATAAGTGTACTAGTTTGGAGTTTTTCGTGGTATTAATCCTATAAAATAATTTAAAATAAATACTTGAAAATCTATTAGGCTTGATTAGACTCATGAGCAGGTGAAGTTTAATATCGGCATGCTTGAGCTCGACTTAACAAGATACTTTAGTAGTTGAGCTTGACTCGAAATTAGGCGAGACGATCTCAACTGATCTTCCAATCGAGCCAAGATATTGGCAAGTAGCTTGACTCGATTATACCCCTACTTCGTAATATAAAATACTTTTAACCTTGATCCCTCTCTTATTTGTCTCGTTAATAGCATTTCCCGAATAGAGTGTTCATGTGCTCTGGACGTACATACAGTTGTTGCACCCGAGAATGAATCTTAAATCTAATCCATGAAAATCTCAGAAAGGGTGCATGCATTCCGAACGGGACCTAGACACTTAATAACAATTAAATATCACATAATATTAAAAGATTTAGTTCAGCTTTCTCCAAAAAACCATAAAATACCTCTACCTTTTTAAAACATCAATTCATTGCCTCTAAATAGAATCCTATTATGAAAAGACCAAATTGCCTCCATTTCAAATCCCCAAACTCTCCTGCAAGTCCTAGCATCCATCACTCCGTAATAGCGATGAGCATATTGGACCGACCAAACCGGGACCGCCAGGACCGGTCAGTTATGGGTGGTTCTGGGGGCTCCCGGTCCGATCCTAAATTCCTATTTTTGGAACCAGTGACCGATCGGTCCGGTTTTCAGTTCCAGCGTGGGAAGTGAACCGACTAGACCGAACTGACTATATATATTTTAATTTTTTTTAAATCTGAAGAAAAGAAACCCTAATCTAATTCCTTTCCCAATTCCCTTTCCCCCACTTCCAGTTTCCTTCCCTCTCGAGTCTCGCCTTTCCCTCTCATCTAACCCCTCACTCGCTCTACAACGCCTCCTCTCGCGGCGGCGTGGCCTCACCTCGACGACTCACGCCTCGCTCTACATCAACACATTTCCCTCTCGCAGCGTCGCCTCTCGCCTCGCTCTACGTCGATGACTTTCCCTATCGCCTCACACCTCGCTCAATGTCAACGCATTTCCCTCTCGCCTCACACCTCACTCGACGTGGACGGCGCTCGACTCTCCCTCGACTTTCGGTCTCAGACGGACGGCCTTTTCAAGATTTCCTGTAATCAAGGTAGTGGAACAAAATTGGAAGGTCTTAATGTGAGAAGAAGAGTAGCTACTGCGAATTCCTCTTGCATGTTGAATAGACGGTCTTGCTAACATGACCGTAGTGATTTATTAAACTGAATATTGAGAAAGTATTCTTCTGCATGCTAATTTTCGTGGCTCATCTGCCTTCATCTTAATCTGCATTGTATGTAAAGTGGAATCGAACCGGTCCGGTCCCCGGTCCTTGGTCCCAGAAACTAGGAACTTGTCCTCTCGATCCGGTTCTCGGTTCCCGGGTGGGATCGGATCGGATTGGGAACCGATCACCCTTACTTCATAAGCCCCCATCTCTCCTCCGCCAAACACCACCGTGTATTTTCTGAAAGGAAATGATCTATTTGTAAATAAAGCCATAAGGATAATTGATACGAAGGTGCAAAATGGTGATAAGGGCAAAACTTAGGTAATAAATTGGTAGTTGAAAAAGCTGATGTATGAAAATGGTGTAGGAGTGAAAAGAGATGTATATTCGTTATATTTTCCCTTAAATACTTATAATCATAACTTATGTTGGATTTCCTGTGAGCAAATTGGTAGTTGAACTTTAAGGGTTTTGTAGCTTTTAAATGCTAACGATATTGAGTACTGGATATGATTACCTTCATAATAACAATGCATGATTTGTGGAACTTAGAAATATCACTTGTACTGAGGTTAATGCTATTAAAGGTCTCCCGTTGATAAAATTTTGTAGACCCCTTCTTGTTTGAACTGCCCAATTTATTTCTTACAGAACTTAATATTTCAAGTCAAAAGTGCTAGGTGTTATCAATCACAAATAATCTTTTTAGTGTTAAATGCTGTAATTTTAGCACTTAATTTGGGTATGAAATATGAATTTCTTTTATTACTTACCCATAACTGTCATATTACATGGCATCATATGCTGGCCAATAACTAAGAAAGATTATAATTGGGTAAGTCAATTAATGAATTACAAAAGACAAATTACAGTGTTTGGCTTACACCTGAAGTACAAGAGAAAGTATAATTTTGTCAAAATCTTCTTTACACTGATGTTAGATATATAAAAGGGTTAATACTACGAAAAACCCTAAATTGGTACACTTGTAACAAATTTATCTCGAACTAATTTTTTTACCACCAAAAATCCCAAACTGATACACCTATGACTACATTAAACTTTTTCATGTAGTTTAGGGACTAAATTGAAAATGTACCAAAAGTCCAGGCACCACATTGAACAAATTAAAAGTTTAAGGACCAAATTACGCATTGGGCTAAAGTTCAGAGACTATTTTTGTCATTATCCCTTTAATTAACTTGGGTAAAAATTCTCACAAAATGACCAAAAATACCCTTAAATTGAAACTGACAGAAATGTCCTACGAACTCAATTTGCTAACCGGACGTGACAAATCAAATGAATGACTTTAAATATTCAATGCAAAAAATGCAATGTTTTCATGAAAACAATGTTTTTGGTAGGGACTAAATCCCAATCGTCTCTATTTTTCCTTTTGTTCTCTTTTTTCTATTTAACAATGCAAAAAAAATGACAAATCTTTGAATAAAATTTAGGTGTCAGCAGTACCGATATTAAAAGTGGTTACACTAAGCCTCCCCATCATACTCTTGATGCGGAATAAACCTCCGACAGAAGGGTCGTTATGGTGAAACAATGGCTATACTCCAAGAACCTATTCCCACCGAGAAAGACCGGCCGTTCAGGAGGACTTTTAAGAGTTGTGCTCTTGCTTTTCATCGTAACGACCACGAGGAAGACACTCTACTGTAGGCCGATCATACCTCCGACGGAAGCGTCGTTGTGGTGAAACAATGTTGATACTCCAAGAACCTATTCCCACCGAGAAAGACCGGCCGTTCAGGAAGAATTCTAAATGTTGTGCTCTTGCTTATCACCATAACGACCACGAGGAAGACACTGGGTACTGTTGGCCGATCATCTGCATCTTTGTGAACGCACAACAGTTCGTCAGCTAATTGAAATTTGGGCAAGAAAAAGCTCCGATCCTCGTAGAAAACCTCTAAGTAATAGGCATGATGAAGGGAAATTCGTGGACTAAGCTCGAAAGAAAGACTTAGGCCCGATCCACTTTCAAGTGGTGCGTTTATCAAATAAGGCTCTGATTGGAGTTGAGGGATGTCAATCGCAATTTTGGCGGGGACAAATTGTCACCTATCGAATAGATACGTCGAAACTAGTAGCTAATGACTTCCGTGGGAAAGTTGAAAGGCTTAATACCACAAAAAATCCCAAACTGATAAATCTGTGATAATTTTACCCCAAACTAATATTTTGACCAACAAAAACCCTAAACTGGTACACCTATGACAAATTTGCCTTCAGTTTGTTTCCATTAAATTTTACTGTCAAATTACTTTGTTAAATAACACACGACAGTTGACTGATGTGTCGATTTTATGTTTTACCCTCCATTTGTCATAGGTGTAACAGTTTGTGATTTTTTTTTTGTATTAATTCAATTTAAAGAAAACTAATTGAGGGTAAATTTGTCACAGATGTATCGATTTGGGGTTTTTAGTAGTCAAAATATTAGTTTTGGGTAAATTTATCACAGGTGCACCAGTTTGAGGTTTTTTATGATCAAAAAATTAATTTTTGGTAAAATTAGTACAGGTGTACTAATTTTGAGTTTTTTATGGTATTAACTCAAGTTGAAACTTTTGGGCTTTGAAAAGGACAACCACTAGATGGACAGTACATATTATGGGACCACCGGTTTTAAGCACTGTAAAGTTTCTTTCAGTAACAAAAGGAGATTCATTTCATGGGACAGTGATGTGGAATTAATGGAGTCACAAAGTTTAATCTCAAATGCATGATATAATCCAGCAAAAAATTTGTGAATTAGATAAGACGCGAGTCAAACGAGATTGGTTGCACTTGGTAACAGCACAAGAAATCAAATTTAAATTGTGCACTTTCTCCCCCTGCTAGACCTCTAGCACACATGCACACTTCAAAACTAGTTACCAATCTTGTCCCGTGGGTCAAGTGAGAGTACCTAATCTCTAATTCTACGACACTGAAGTTGGCTACGACAACATGCTCCAATTTTCATTGGGATAATGATAATGAAAATCTTAAAAACTTGTGTTGATCCGTCATATTTAGTACAAAAACTTTTTTATCTGATCATCTAAATCCTAAAATTTGTTGTCATCCTTCAAATGAGTCATTCTGTTAACTCCCCACCTTTTGGTGGACCGAAAAGTCCAAGCTGGCGCTCGCCCGGCAATAGGTGAAGTCTGCGACTCTCGCCAAGAGCAAGTGAAGGGTTGTGGCCATGGCGGCGAAGGCGGCCCTCATCACCATCGTTCAAGGGCCGCTACGACCACGAAGCAAGGGAACCCCTGCTCTGGCGAGAGTGGCAACCCTTGCCGGCGATAAAGAGGTGGCACCATCTCCCGCCCGTCCTGCCCCCTCACCTCTGATCTTTTTCTCTCCGTTTTTTTGCCCCTTTTTGAAACTTTAGTCTTTTTTATTCGTAGTGTTTGTTTCTAATGCATCACATCAATGCCACTTGAATGAAAGAAAAAGATAAAATTAATTAAAAAAACCCGCCTGGATTTTTTGTCCAAAAAAAATTGACACTGTTAACGAAAGACTAATTCAAAGGACGGTAACGAATTTTAAGCCTTCAATGACCCTGAAAATTTTTTAGGACTAAAGTGACATATCAACACAAATTTTGAAAATTCTAATATCATTATCCCGCTTTTATTTTGTCAAATTTATGGGACAGGTACGTAGAAAATCAAATGAGGTGAGAAAATTTTATGTAGCAGACTTAGTTTATGGAGAGGTGATAGAGAGAACTAGCTAATCATAATATAAAAATCACATGGATTAATATCATGAAAAACCCCAAACTGTTACACCTGAGACAAATTTATCCCAAACTAATTTTTTTACCACCAAAAACCCCAAACTGGTACACATATGACAAATTTACCCTAAATTAATTTTTTGAACATCAAAAATCTCAAACCGATACACTTGTGACAAATTTACTCTCCGTTAAATTGCATTAATATCACGAAAAATCATAAATGGGTAAATCTGTAACCCATCTAAACTGATATACTCATCAACTACCACGTATAATCCAATTCAGAATTTTGACAGTAAAATTTAATAGAAACTAATGTATGGTAAATTTGTCACGGTGTACAAGTTTGGGATTTTTGGTGGTCAAAAAATTAATTTGGAATAAATTTATCATAAATGTACCGGTTTGGAGTTTTTTGTAGCATGAATCCAAATTTCACTAAAACTTGTGGTTTTTTTGTAAGAGAACCTGTGAATTTAAGTTATTTTCCCAAACGTGACTGATGTGACCTAACAAAATTAATACAAGCAATTACTTTCTTCAACCACGTAGATGGCTCATTAAAGGTCAATGGTCGGTGATGCATTATTGCCCCCTAAAATAAAGCTCGGATGTCGAACTGAGCCGCGTCGAAGGCGTTGGGTGTCCACGTCTTAATTGAGACTCTTGTGTCGGATTCATGGTCTCCTATGTTTTGAGGCAACGATGGTCAATCAAGGAATGGCTTTGCCAGTTGCTGTCTCTTACGATTGCATGACTCGAATCTCTATCGTCACCATAGGGCTCTATCACTCGCTCATCCACATAAAATTTATACCGGAAGCGTGGTCATTCTAGATTTATTATACGGATGTCAATTTATTTCTAAATTTTTTGATTTTATCAATTTAATTCTAGACTTTCTTCAAGAAATTCATTACAGTATTTCGAATCAATGTTTGCCAGTCATCCTACGCGGTGTTTGTTGAGTGATTTTGGGCTTCTCTCATATGATGCCTTCTCTCACACTTATAAATTGATCATTAACCCCTTTCACTAGAGACAGGTGCATGTCCCTTCAAAATCACCGTCAAAACAGCTGGACCATGCCCCCATTCCCTTCCTCCCATGCCATCTCTCCACCGGTAACGAGAAAGAAGAATTTCTTGAGATGTGGTTTGCCCTAACCAAGGGAAAAATACGAGGTTGGCAAATATTTTGGATCCATAAACTAATCTTACAATTCCGTAATGCTCGTAAACCAGCAACAATCTGCAGTCTGATTTCCCTCAATCATGAATAGAGAAAGATATTACAATTTTATATTTACCTCCGGTGTAAATGAGATATTCGCAAAATTATACTTTCTTACAATTCCTATTGATAAACCTATCCGGTTGTGATCATTATTGATGGTGCATCAAAATACGATGTAGTGTAATATAACGATTCTGGGCAAGAGACGAGAGTTCATAACTAAATTAAGTATTAAAATTACAATATCTGACGCCTGAAAGATTTATTTACAATTGAGATTAGATCGATACTCTTGAGGGTGTTCTCATGAGAAATGTATAAGGAATGGCGATTTGAACGTAGGAGCATGTATTGATTACTAGGGGTGAGCAAAAGAATTTGACCGAACCGGGAACCACCCGGACCAGTAACTATGGGAAGCTTATGGGCACTTACCACAGTTCACGATTAATCGGTGAATATTGGTTCAGTTGCCGGTTTTAGGCGTGGATCCATCCACCCGGACCGAACCAATCACAAAACTAAAAACCCTAATTACTAATTCCTCATTCTTCAGTATTTCAGCTACACAACGCATTCAAACCACATGAAGAAGCATACTGATTTGTACTGGCCACACAGCACATAGTTGGCACATTTCCTGAAATACTTCCACACCCAAGCATGGTACATTACATGCAATAACCATGACCTGGCCATTAACAAAGGGCCGCTCAGGTCAAACTCTGTTGGTGGAAGAACAAGGATTGCACATTAAACCATCTGAGGACTAGCCTGCAGTCCTCATTCTTAATCAGTGCACATTGTGACTCCATCTCCAGGAGCATTCTAGGTCTAAATGTAACTAAGCCTTCTGAGCAAGAGATGAGAAACAGTGAATCGTAAGGGTCTAAGGAACAAAATAACTTCCTAAGGATGATGAGATTGTTATATTAACATCACTTGTATAGTAGTTTATACTATTTGACAACACTTGCAGTCTTGTAAGGAATAGGAAAAAAAAAGGGAGAGTATACCGCCGGTTCCCAAGTGGGTCCAAGACTAAGTGGGCGGTTTCCGGTTCCACAAACTAAGAACGATCTAATCAGTCGGGTTCCCGACTCCAGGTAAGTGGGAACCGGCCCATCCCGGAACCGATCGCCCCTAGCGATTTGTTTTGTATGCCTGCCACTCTATAAGTAAAGCCAAAGACTCGGAAAAAAAATTTCAGTACAGGCCAAGCATCAACCTGTTCCCTTGAACGCCATGAAAAACTCATCATTTCTCCTTGTGCTTGTTCTCTCAATCCTTCACCTGCCTTCTCAACCTTCCTCTGCAACTCGCACTACTTTGCGCAGAGGCGACTCTCTCTCCGTTGACAACCAAGACGACATCCTCATCTCAAAGTCAGGTGTCTTCTCCGCCGGGTTTTTCTCCGTCGGCAATAACGCTTACTGCTTTGCCATCTGGTTCAGCCATCCACCATGCAGCGGCCAGAATTGCACCGTAGTTTGGATGGCGAACCGCGATGAACCTGTCAACGGGAGGTACTCTAAGCTCTCCCTTAAAACAAATGGCAATCTCGTGCTAACCGATGCCAGCCACGCCGTTGTTTGGGCCACAGATACAGCCTCGCTCTCAGGGTCCAAGACACCGGTTCATCAGTTACAGCTCCTAGACTCTGGTAATCTTGTTCTTCGTGACAGAGAAGGCATTGTCCTGTTGTGGCAAAGCTTCGACTACCCGACCGACGTGCTCCTCCCTGAACAGAACCTCACGAGGAACACACCGCTTGTTTCCTCTCGGAGCAACGGCAACTTCTCTTCAGGCTATTACAAGTTATACTTCGACAACGACAACGTCCTTCGTCTCCTCTTTAACGGACCTTTGATCTCGAGCGTCTACTGGCCAGACCCGAGCCATGTGAGTTGGGAAGTTGGAAGAACAACCTACAACGATAGTAGAGTTGCAGTACTTGATTCCTTGGGGAATTTCACTTCATCCGACGATCTGAAGTTCCTGACGTCGGATTTCGGCAAGAAAACCCAACGAATGTTAAAGGTGGATCACGATGGTAATGTAAGGGTCTATAGTAGAGAAAAAGATGAGAAGTGGGTCGTAACATGGCAAGGCATATCTGATTCATGTGCTGTTCATGGGATTTGTGGACCGAATAGCGTTTGCAGGTACAGCCCAAGTGAGGGAAGGAGTTGCTCTTGCCCTCCTGGATATGCGTGGAAAAATGACACTGATTGGACTCAGGGATGTGCGCCCAAATTCGAGAGCTTCTGCAACAATAATTCCGATTCTCATGTCGATTTCCTGCGTTTGTCTCACCATGATTTCTATGGATATGATAAGGGCTATCGGCCAAACACTACCCTGGCGTCGTGCAAGAAAAAGTGCGCAGATCTTTGCGATTGCAAAGGCTTTGAATACAAATTCAACGAGGACAGTGGGAGCTTCGACTGTTTCCCAAAGATACTGCTGTTAAATGGACATTTTGCATTATCATTACTTGGAAGCATCTATCTGAAACTACCAAAAGCCAATCTCTCTTCTTATCAAATACCCACCGAAGGATTCAACCCACTGCCCTGTGCCCCAAAAGCTCAAGAAGTTATCCTGCAGAGGACGTATCTGAAGAGTCACGCGAGCTCGACACTTGAGATCTTGCTCATTTTTGCTTCGGTGTTAGCTGGAGTGGAAATTGTTGTAGTCTTCCTCACGTGGTCCTTCTTGACAAGGACTGATCCCAACAGACGTGGAGGTTATGCGAAGGGATATCATCTTGCGGCAAGAGGATTCACTAGGTTCACATATGCCGAGCTAAAGAAAGCAACCAGTAACTTTAGCAAAGAGATTGGAAGAGGAAGTGGGGGGATTGTGTACAAGGGTGTCTTGCCTGATCATGGGGAAGTTGCGGTCAAGTGGCTAAACGAGGTGAATCAAGGAGAAGATGAGTTCCTGGCTGAAGTTAGAACTATTGGGGATCTCAATCACATGAACCTGATTGCGATGTGGGGTTACTGTGCGGAGGGAAAGCACAGGCTCTTGGTTTATGAGTTCATGGATCATGGTTCCTTAGCGGAAAATCTTTCTTCCGATCAACTCGACTGGACGAAAAGGTATGAGATTGCGGTGGGATCGGCCAAGGGACTCACTTATCTTCACGAAGAGTGCTTGGAATGGGTTCTCCATTGCGACGTGAAGCCACATAACATACTTCTTGATTCTAATTACCAACCAAAGGTGGCGGATTTTGGATTGTCAAAGATACTCAAGAGGGAGGGACTGAAGAACTCAAGCTTCTCGAGAATCAGAGGAACAAGAGGTTACATGGCTCCTGAATGGGTTTACAATATGCCAATCACCTCCAAAGTAGACGTGTACAGCTATGGGATTGTCCTGTTGGAGCTGGTTACTGGCAGGAGTCCCTCAGGAGGGCTTGCAAATACTGAGGGCGGTGATGAGAATGAGAGCAAAAGGTTGACTTCTTGGGTGAGAGAGAGGAAGAGAACAGAAGTCCCCACGGAAACATGGATAAAGGAAATTGTGGATCCAAGGCTGACAGGGGAATACGACATTAGGAAGATTGAAGTTTTGGTTGCAGTGGCTCTTCAGTGTGTGCAGGAAGACAGAGATGCAAGACCCACCATGAGCCAGGTGGTTGAGATGCTTCTGCGCCTTGAAAGTGAGGATCTGTAATCAGCTTCAAGCATTACCTGCTCGTGTTTGATCTCTAAATAAGTGGACAGTGGTAAAGGTAATATAGTCTTCGGATGTACAAACCTAGGAAAGATAATTTAGTGGGTGTTTATCTCTGTATTTTCTTCTTACAAATCTAGGAAAGATCATTTAGTATGATAGATCCCTGTAAGAGAGATCATTCAGCAACAAGGACCCTATTGATCTCTTGTGAATGTTCACCTCTGGTGCTTATAGTCCTGTCCTATGAATTCACCAACTGAAGACAGGAAAGAACATTTCCAAGTAATTTGAAAGAAAAAAATTACACGTGCTAGTGTCCTAAGAAAGATTGCACATAAATTATACCCAAAACAACACGTATAATAAGTTTGGCATCGTTCATGCCGTGTCCCTTCACTGTGATTTGGATGATGAGTTGTCGTCTTATCCTTTCGTTCTCGCTGAGCACGTTCGACTGAAGTTAATTCCTTCGATAATCAATCATGCAAGCGGACTACCATTTCTACATTTTTCACGGTGAAATTGCACCTGTTGTCTTCCATGATTCATTGGCTAGTACTGAACGTGGACTCCAAGGGCACTAAGGGCCCGTTTGGTTAGGCTTTTCAAATGCAACTTTGGTAAAAAAAATTTTGCAAAGAGTTTTGGCAATTTTTAGTTTTAATATTCCGCTTTTGCCCATATTACTGTTCATCTTCTTCACCGGCGAGGGTGGCCGGGCGAAGCGCGGCGAGGTCGCCCGACCCGAGCGACGGCCGCCCGGGGTCGGGCGACCGCCTGGCGCCCATCACTCCGGGTCGCGCGACCTCGGGTGACGCCGACTCGGGTCGCGACCCGGCGGCCGTCGCCGGAGTTGCGCGACCTGGCGACCGCCGCCCGAGGTCGCGACTCAGCCGACGTCGCCTAAGGTCGCGACCCAGGGCGGCCGTCGCCCGGGGTCGCGCGACCTCGGGCGACCGTCGCCGGGTCGCGCGACCCAGCGACCGTCGCCGGGCAGTCGCGCGACCCAGCGACGGCCGCCCGGGTCGCGACCCAGGCGATGGCGCCTGGGCGGTCGCCCGACCCCAGGTGGCCGTCGCTTGGGTCGGGCGACCTCGCCGGCCCTTCGCCGGCCAGATCCGCCCTCGCCGGCCAGATCCGCCCTCGCTGGCCACCCTCGCGGTGAAGAAGATGAACAGTAACATGGGCAAAATCGGAATAAAGAAATTTGAATGAGGGCAATTTAGGAAGGGAAAAATAAGCTTCAGCATCCCAAATGCTAACTTTCGGCTTTCCGTTCCCCAAATGCTGAACCAAACGGTTCAGCATTTTGGGAAGGGGCTTTCGAGCCCAAAAGCCCCTTCCCAAAGCTGAACCAAACGGGGCCTAAGAGTGTGACATAAATAGTGCCCCAAGCACTTTTGAAAATTACTTACGCACACTATATGAAAAATATTGGATTTAGGATATAATGGGAAGACTGATGCAGCTAAAACTTTACATTGGTTACCATGTGATGTTAATGTAATGCCCATTTGGTGTCACATTAGCCTGTGATACCACATCAACACTAAATAAAACTTGAAAGCTGATGAATGTACAAGCTGGTGGTAGCAGGTGGCAGCTGCAGCTAGTCCAAGTCGAATATTCCATGAGCTTGTCTGTTGCAATAACAAGTTTTCCTCCTTTTTTCCTGCATCAAGTTTATCCTCACTCCATATATCAACACTTAAATTCATTGGTATATCTGTTTTAAAACAATGGAAACCGTATCCATTTAGGACAGCTTAAGACAATCTTTGCTTTTAAATTTCTTTGAACTTAAACACTTCCTTAATCTTCTGTCCTTATAGAAAAACTAAATTATATATCGAAGCGGCCTCTTTGATCATTTTGCTAAGCAAAACCAAAATCTCAAATTCAGCTAAATGAATCCATTTGAAAGAAGTTACACTATGTATCTCAATGATCACGTTAATTTGATTTCTTGCACATTGTTTCTTAATAATAAATTCTTGGCTAATTTCCTTGCCCAAATTTATTTTATTTGTTTTGTCGAACCTTGCCCAAATTGACTTTTGAACATAACTATTGGTATACACTTCTTAATCGGCACATTGTTTCTTAATGATTAATTGATGACTAGATAAGATAGTTGAAAATTTAGCAATTTCCTTTTTGACATTGACTTTTGAACAAACTTACCCAGATAAACTTCTTCATTCTTTATGAAGACATTTTTTTAGAAGGAAAATCGTCCAGAAAGTCCTAAATCTCTTGTACGGCGGCCAATTTAATCATAAACCCTTCAATTGTGCCAATTCAATTTTAAATATTTCAATTTACTAATTTAGTTCTAAACATTTTAACGATTTATCAATTTAGACTTAAATCTTTTAACGATTTGTTAATGGTACCGTTAGTAATTGAAAGTGAATGCTAGGGCTCGGTGACAAAAGAATTTAAACCGGTTTGGGGGCAAATATGGGCTCAATTCCATAAAAAACCCTCAACTTTACACTTTGTCCCAAATATACCCTAAACTTTTTTTTGTCTCAAGAAAAACCACCAACTTTTATCTAAGTCCCAAATCTGTCCTCCCGTTAAAAATCCGTCCAAATCCGTCAGAGAAAAAAAAAAAAAAAACAGAGAATTGGCAGCTGCGGCGGTGGCCAAGCCTTCGCCGGTGGCGACCGCCGCAGCCGTCGGGAAGGAGCGGCAGCCCACGCCTCGGCCTTCCCGAAGGCCAGGCGACCTCGCCGGCCCCGGGCAAGCCGCCGGCGGGCGCGCGGCTCCGATGCACCGGGGCGAGGTCGCTCCTCCCCGGATCGGGGCCGCGCGCCTCGCCGGCGGCTCGCCCCGGGCCGGCGAGGGTCGCAGCCTTCGAGAAGGCCCGGGCGAGGCCGGCGACCCTGCCGACCACTGGGCGAGCCGCCGCGAGGCGCGGCCCCCGATCTGGGGCGAGGTTGCGCCTCCCCGGATCGGGGCTGCACGCGCCACTCGCCGGCTGCCGGCCCGGCCGGCGAGGGTCGCCGGCCTTCGAGAAGGCCCGAGGCGAGGCCGGCGACCCTCGCCGGCCCTGGGCGAGCCGCCGTGAGCGCGCGCCCCGATTTGGGGCGAGGTCGCGCCTCCCCCGAGATCGGGGGGCTGCGCGCCTCGCCAGCCGGCTCGCCGGGGCGGCGAGGGTCACGGCTCTTCGAGAAGGCCCGGGCGAGGCGCGACCTCGCCGGCCAGGCGAGCCCGCCGGCGAAGTGCGCGCGCCCCGATTTAGGGCAAGGGTCGCGCCTCCCCGGATCGAGGGCTGCGCGCCTCGCCCGCGACTCGCCTCATGGGCCGGCGACCCCGTAGGCCTCGCCCGGGCCTTCTCGAAGGCCGCGACCCTCGCCGGCCCCGGGCGAGCCGCGGCGACCCTCGCCGCCCGAGGCGAGCCGCCGCGAAGGCGCGCAACCCCGTCTGGGGAGGGCGCGACCTCTGCCCCAGATCGGGGCTTGCGCCCTCGCCGCGGCTCGCCCGGGCGGCGGGTCGTCGGCCTCGCTGGGCCTTCTCGAAGGCCGGCGACCCTCGCCGGCCCTGGGCGAGCCGCCGTGGCGGCTGCAGCCCCGTCTGGGCGAGGGTCGCGCCTCCCCGAGATCGGGGCTACGCGCCCTCGGCCCGGCTCGCCCAGGGCCGGCGAGGTCGCCAGGCCTCGAGAAGGCCCGGGCGAGGCCGAGACGACCCTCGCCGCCCCAGGCGAGCCGCCGGCGAGGCGCGGCCCCGATCTGGGGCGAGGTCGCGCCCTCCCCGGATCGGGGCAGCGCCCCCTCGCCGGCTCGACGGCCGGGCGAGGCCTCGCCGGCCTCGAGAAGGCCCGAGGGCGAGGCCGACGACCCTCGCCGGCCCTGGGCGAGCCGCCGTGGCGCGCAGCCCCGATTTGGGGCGAGGTCGCGCCCTCCCCCAGGATCGGGCGTGCGCCTCGCCAAGCAGCTCGCCCGGGGCGGCGAGGGTCACCGGCTCGAGAGGCCCAGCGAGGCCGGCAACCTCGCCGGCCCGGGCGAGCCGCCGGCGGGTGCGCGCGACCCCGATCATGGGGCAAGGGTCGCGCCCTCCCCCGGATCGGGGCTGCGCGCCCTCACTGGCGACTCGCCACAGGGCCGGCGATCCCACGCCGGCCCTCGCCTGGGCCTTCTCGAAGGTGCGGCGACCCTCGCAGCCCCCCAGGCGAGCCGCCGCCGGCGACCCTCGCCGAAGCCCCAAGGCGAGCCGCCGGCGACCCTCGCCCGGGGCGGCGAGGGTCGCCGACCCGGGAGGCCCGGGCGTGGGCCGCCGCTCCTTCCCGACGGCTGTGGCAGCGGCCACCGGCGAACGCTTGGCCACCGCCGCAGCTGCCGGTTCTCTATTTTTTTTTTTTTTTTTTTTCTCACGGATTTGGACGGATTTTTAACGGGAGGGCAGATTTGGGACTTAGATAAAAGTTTGTAGTTTTTCTTGAGATAAAAAAAAATTCAGGGTATATTTAGGATAAAGTGTAAAATTAAGGGTTTTTTTTTAATTGAGCCGCAAATATGTGATTTAAACGACACGGTTGGCTTGTACTATTAAGGGCTCAATTGTCCATTCGAGGTACATAACATCATTGAAGTCAAATAATACCAAGTCAGATTTTCTGACAAGTCAACAAACAGAGACGTCTCGTTCTACGTACCAAAAAACAAAACAAATAGAAATTTCTTGAAGTATATGACGATTGAGAATGATACTAGCTATATCTCTGTTGTCACTGAATGTACGTAGAACGAGACATCGTCATTTTCTTACAAGCAGTAAATTAGGAAAAAGCCATAGAGACTGTTATATTCGTTTGGGGACTAGCATGTAGCAACTAGCGCAGACATCCGAATTACAAAAGAAAGATGAGGTATTTGCAGTATACAAAAGAATAGTGGGTGAGAATTACCAAGAACGGCATTGGTTTGGGGTTACTTGTCCGGTGTGATCGCCGTGGCGGTAGTTGTGCTGGAGGCGACACGCATCTTTCTTGAGGCGTGAATTACTACGATGCGGCGAACCAAAAAAAGAGAGAGAAAGCACGCTTAGGGTTTTGTGTTGACTAACCATAGTACCGTTCATAAGTAAAAATACCATTGCTATCTTCTCGAGATCAAAAGACATTAGGTTGCATTGCTCATACAATTGAATGTCGCGAGGAGTGTTGGCCCATATATAAGATGAGATATCAACTTGATGGTGATGACAATTTCTAGATATGCCAATCAAGTTGGGACTAGTACGAATTCGACCCACAAGAGAAATGGCATGTGCTGATCGACTAATGCCAACAGCACTTGAGTCTTGGGATATGGAGCTCATGACCGGAAACGTGAGAACGAGCTAGCTCGGTCCAGTTCGCAGTTCTTAAAAATGGACTCGGTGTTTGGGCGGTCCGATGCCCAGTTCCAATGGAGAGAATCGGAAGGAACTGGACTGCCCAGACCGATTATTTTTTATTTTTCATTTTTTTAAATGTCTCACACATGTCTCCTCAATTCACGCTTTGACTGGACTTGGGAGTGATCAGTCCTCTAAATGCTCCAAATCCAGCCAAACGAAGCCAACTTGCTCTTGTTAACAAATGACAAAAGAAGTGACCCCAGAGATGGGAGAGACTACAGAGACTGAGGTCAACATTCAAGGTAGGCAACCCAAAACTGGTCAAAATTACATTGATTAGGATCTCATCATTCAGGACTTCATATAAATCAAAGAGATAAGACACATGATTTGAAGATCCCACACCAACCAAAGACAAATGACGATAGAAGGTGGCACTTACATATGAATACACGGGAGTGGAGACAAAACGCCTTTCAAGGCGAGACAAGAGCTATCAAACTCCGTTCGCTTGCATCATCTCCCCCATCATGTCTCACAAAGATATTCAGAACTCAGTGGACCCACAGAACTATTCTCTTGAGTTCTGTTTATGCTCGATAAGCGCAATACGTCATCACTAGTTCATTATTGGACGATAAAAGATTTCTTGGTGATGGATTCTCTCCTTGGAACTTGATTGCTTCTATTGGACCGCTCGGAAACCGGACCAGACCGGTCGACCGGTCTAGTCCGGTTCCGGAAACTAAGAATCGGTCCAGTTCCCGGTTTCGAGGTGAGACCGGACTGGACCGATCACCCCCAACCCACAAACCGGAAACATGCAAATATAAGATTCACTATTTCGACACTTAAAGCCACTTTTGTACTGATTTCCAGCATTTCTAATTTGATCTTTTGCTTGAAGGCTTCTTGTCGTCAAACCAACTTCAGTCTCGCTTTGCGTTAAACCCTAAACGAAGTTTTTGTTCTTTTCTCAATTGTAATCATCTCATTATCAATACGAGGACTGTCGTGTAATTCAGAAATTGTCGATCAGAACTGTTATTCAAATGACACGATATTGTTGAGCGTTTGGCATTCGGAAGCTCTCTTTTGTAGAAACAAACATGGGTATTCAAATATAGATTCACTTATAATGTTTCCATAACTTTTTTCTAGACTTTCAAAACTTTCGTTTTAAAAACAGATTGGACGAACAACAGATGGTATTTTTTTTCTTCTTTTATTGATGGGACGGACAGACCTAACCATAATTTCTCTAGGAACGAAATAGGTATATGTCAGAGCGAGAAATAACTCTACGCATGTTTTCTGAATTAAAACTAACCATTGGGTGCTAGGAGGGTCGAATTAAAACATAAAATTAACTCGAATACAACCTTTTTTATGTTTGGATCTTGATTTCGAAATCCTTTCGGAGTTGAAAGGTCTCAATTGCAGTTGTCCCCAAAAGTTTGACAATCTTCGAAGTTTCACCCCTCGCCTTTCCAACTCGAGCTCTAATAAAAAATTCAACACCAACGTGAAAATCATTTGCTTATGTCAGAGATTATGCTTTCGCTTATTCATTGTTTAACGTTTATTATTAAAGAAAGACCGTTGATGCTACGTTGGTCATATACAAAAAGGCCAATTTACGTGAGACAGAGAGAAGCAAGAATCTATCCCTTTCGCGACGCTCCGTCGCAAGGTACCAAACCCAGCAACAATGCTTTCCTTCTTCTTGCTCTTCCTCACCGCCACCGCCACCAACTCCCCCTTTGTCCATCCTCAAGCACTCCCTCCGAGCCCGAGCCCGAGCCCGAACCCGAGCCCGAGCCCGAGTCCCAAAAGCATCTTCCTCCTCGCCGGGCAGAGCAACATGGCGGGCCGAGGAGGCGTGGTTAACATCTCGCCCACCGGGTGGGTCGAAAAGTGGGACGGCGTCGTCCCTCCCGAGTGCGGCCCCAACCCGTCGATCCTCCGGCTCGCGGCGAACCTCACGTGGGTCGAGGCACGCGAGCCGATCCACGCGGACATCGACTTGAACAAGACGAACGGGATCGGCCCCGGCATGGCGTTCGCCAACGCCGTTCTGGGCCGGGACCGGAGCCTGGGCTCGGTGGGGCTGGTGCCGTGCGCGGACGGCGGGACGAAGATAAGCGAGTGGGAGAGAGGGACGGTTCTGTACGACCGGCTGATGAGGCGGGCGCGGGCGGGGACGGGCGGCGGCGGCGGCGGGAGGACGATCAGAGCGCTCCTGTGGTACCAAGGAGAGAGCGACGCGATGGCGGAAAGCGACGCCGCGCTGTACAAAGGGAGGTTGGAGAAGTTCTTCTCGGACGTGAGAGCTGATCTGCAGTCGCCGGAGCTACCGATTTTTCAGGTGATTGAATTTCTCCTCCATGCTTCATTTTTCACTTTAGATTAGTCAAACAGATTATGATAAAAATTAATTAAACAAATGGCGATCGTCTCGATGTGGTAGGTGCTGAGTCTATTTTTATTCGAGACCAGACAAAGAATTAGTCAGATATGCATTTTTTATAGTAACAGCTTGCCAAAAGGGTCCGTGGGAGTCCATGTGATGTGTTTCTGTCCTGCAGCTTTTTGAATAGAAATAAATAATAAGAAAGAAACAGCAACGTCAAGATCTTAGGATTATCTTCTTCTTTTTTTTGGTCTAGTAGGATTATCTCTTGAATAGCTAGCTATTGGCGGCTCGTGAGGAAAATTATCCAAAAAATTTATAAATTTATTACATTTTGCGAATTCAATCATAAACTTTTCGATTTTGTAAATTTAGTCATAAACCGTTTGATAATTTATCAATTGAATCCATCCGGCCAACTTTGATAAGAAGTTATTGACGAATATGCCGATCAACCTACGTGGCACAACCGGCACTAATGTGGACATTTTTAATAATATTTTAATAATTTTTTAAATTTTTTATGATTTTTTTCTTTTTTCCCCTTTTCCTTACCCATTTTTTTGTTGTTTGGAGGGATGGCCGGCAAGGGCGTTGCGACCCTCACCGAATCTAGGCAAGGGCTCGTGCGCCCTAGCTTTGGCCGGCGAGGGCCACGACGCCCTCACCTAGAGCCGATAAGAGTCACGGGGGCTTGCCTGTGGCCGGTGTTTTCTCCAAAATCGAAAAAAAAAAATAACAAAGAAAATGGAAGAAAAAACCATAAAAATTGTTAAAATTTCATCTGAAATTATCCACATTAGTGTCAGCTGTGCCACGTGGACATATGTGGCAACATTGGAAAATTGCTGTGCCACGTAGGACATCCACGTCAAAAATTTCCAGTCAAAAATTGATCAGATAGACTCAATTGGCAAAACGTGAAAATGTTTAGGACTGAATTGGAAAAATTGAAAGATTTAGAACTGAATTGACAAAAGTGTAATAGGTTTAAGACTTTTTGGCCAATTTTCCCAGCTCATGTGGGAACATTGAAAGAATTTTGCCCATAAATTATTTAATGAGTTAAGATGATCAACAGTCGACCGCATATTTAATTAGATTAATAAATCGGACATCAAGAAATGGTGATATTCACACTAAATCCTCGAAAAAAAAAATTGTATGTTTTCATGCGTTTTCTAATTCGCATAACCGGAGTTCCCCTTTTGCTTAATTGAACGCTTGTTCTGTGTTTGGTAGCAGGTGGCTATCGCGTCGGGACTAGGACCATTCACCGAGACGGTGAGAGAGGCCCAGCTCGGGCTCGACCTTCCGAACGTGCGAACTGTCGACGCCAAGGGACTGCCTCTCGGGCGTGATCACGTCCACCTAACTACCCCGGCCCAGGTCCGGCTCGGCCAGATGCTGGCCGACGCTTTCCTTCAGTCCGTGCCTGGCCCCGCGCCGCTCGCGAGCAAAGCTTCCACGAGGGGTTCGAATCTTGTTTTCCACGTTCTGCCCTTTTTTACGTGGAGATTTGTCGAGGCAGTTTTCATTAACAGATGATTAATGATTTACGGTTTCTGTTTTTGGATTGGAAGGTAATTGACGATTCATTTGTTTTGGACTCGACCGGAAATTGCCAAAGGGTGAAGAGAAACATGGGATGCGACTGTTGTTTGATAGAAGATTGGAGGGGGATAGTCATGAAAAATGAGAAAATTTTTCTATTGTAGTCCTAAATTTTTGCATGAAATTTTAATATAATTCTTCCGGTCAATCTTAGACTGAAAATGGTGATATGACGGTACAATCAATGCCATGGCCAGATGGACAACTTTACTAAAAACGATGTTGTTTTGCTTAAATTTATGAATTTTCTGATTTTTCTTTCTTTTTGTCTTTTTTATTTTTATCTTTTCTTTACTTAGAGATTATAATCAACCTATTGTTGATCTTCTACCACTACCATGAGCTCTTTGTCACGATCCCCAGGTTCTCAAGGCTCGATCCAAGGGAACGGGATAAGCATTGAATTAATTAAGGTCTAGGGTATATTTGTATTTAGAACATTTAATGGGTAAATGGTAATCTTATATTTAATAGGGTAGAATGTAGTTGAAAAGAACGAATCTCCACATATATAAATAATGGTGTTCTGCCCCTCATTTGTAGCATCCAACGTATGAGCAATAGAAATACATTCACTCCCAAAACTTCTCTTTCAAAATACCTCTTTACGATCTGACTGAGTTAGCGAACGAACATTAAGAATAAGCTTAACTTAGGCGATCCATCGAACCAATGGAAGCCTAAATCGCCGCACGGTCTCGATCTCAAGCATCGGCCCGTGACATCTTCATCATCCCCTACCTGTTAAGACCTAACCCAAAATTGTCCGACACTCAAACCCAAAAGCTCAACCGGGACCTCTCAAAGCCCGACGGAGACTCCCAAATCCTTGTCTAGGACAAGGATCCACCCAAGACGACCCCGATCTAGTCACTACACCATCCTTGTGAGCCCAAGATCCAAGCTTTATAGTCCCCACCTCCGCCTCTTCTCACCACGAGCCTGAAAAGCAAGAAAGTGGGAAGCCGCGCAGAAATGCCACACCATGGAGAGGAAGTCGCAGCAAAAGCTCAGATCGCTTGCCTGAGGCACATGTTGTGGCACATTCTGCTGCAAAGGTTGTGGTAATTGTGGGACTTGGTATTAGGGCAAAGGTTGTGGTGGTTGTGGTACTTGGCATTGGGGCAAAGGTTGTGGTGGTATTGGAGGTCTTCCTTGATTATCTACATTAACATTTGGTTTGGATGGTGTTTGAATGAAGTTTGATTGAGGCATAAAATCATATGGTTGCACATTACCATATGGTTGAACCGGCGTAGTCTGTTGAGGAGTGTGATTTACATTGTCTCCATTAACTTGAACTAGATTAAGTCAACTATTCCCATTGGTCAGTGCTTGTCCATAGGACTGACTCGCACCAACATTCGCACCAACATTCTCAATTCTTGGTAATAGAATAACCAAATTGTTCTCATTAACCAATGTTTGGCCACAAGTCTGAATTGCAGTTACACCCTCACCTCTCTGCAGGATTCTCAACGGTGTTGGATGTACAACCTGCCCTGCAGTTCCAAAATTGGGTGTCATATTGTTGGATTGAGGCACATTTCCAGTAGAACTTGGTAAAAATATAGGACTAGGCTGCATTTGGGTTGAACTGGTCAATGGCCCTTGCTTATTTGCAATCTCATGGCCAGTGATAGGCCTGATAGTGTCCGCTACACATCTACCGACTAAATTAACCAAATCATTATATTGTTCTTTAATGATCCTTCTCATAGTAGCATGCAATTGTGACCGGGTTTGGCTCAAATTGCCTTCTCTGTTTTTCAGTGAGATGTTTGGGTATATCTACCTCTCCAATCTATCCTTGATCTACAATTGGTTGTACATTTGACGATTCTACACATGCCACCCTTTCAGCAATAGCCTTTGGATGTGAACTATTACCTGCAACATTGTTGTGATCAAGTTGACTCTGACTCCTAGTTTATGCCATTGTAACTCCTCAAATCAACCACAATGGTCCCACTGGGCATGCCAAAATTATGTTTCGCCTCATTGGATTTGCTCCCGCAGCGAAATATAATTCACCGAGCGTCGTTCTTCGATTTTTTATGAGAAAAAATCGGGTTCAGTGGTGACTCCGAACATGAGATATCTAGGCGAGAAAAATGAATCCACTTACTTCAATCAAGACAATACAAATTTGAACCGTGCTAGTATCTGATCGACGGCAAGCCCAAGCAGTATAAATGATTCGAACCAATTCCGCCATACGCTAATTGACGACAGTATTGATTTACAACGGGATATTGCATTTTAACCTCATCAATGACATGTTGCACACTAACACCAAACTAAACCATTTAGGATCTACAGCTAAGGAAGTTGAAAGTACAATGCGGAAAGCTTTAAAGATAAAAAAAAATGACGTTTTGATTGTGTTTTTCGAGGGGCCTTCTGCTGGCAATCGAGTGGTATTTTTAATGAAGGTACGGTAACCATTCCTCGGCAACACCTGTCAATTTGCGCCAAATAACTTCCGTTGATCCTATCTTCATCCCTTATTTCCACAATCTTGAATTACCCACGTCCTTATATAATCGTCTTCATCGTGTGCAAAACTTTCCACTCTCGGCGATAACCTTCATGACCAAGTCCTCAGGCGGTAAATATTCCCTCTTCAATTTGGGCTATCTCAAGTTTCAAATATAAAATTTCCCGTTGGCATGACCATTGGCGGCTGCTAGCTTCTGTCGTCGTACTAGACACAGGGCATGTTCAAGGATTACATTATCCCCTTGTCAATGGATATGCGTTATACCAAACATAACTCACATAATACACTTGTGGTTATTTCATTTCTGGTTTCTATTTTGTGTATTTATTTAGATTTCATGTAATTTCTCTTGCCGTCGACAACCTGACTATTTTTTGTGTCGAACACATTATAAACGAAATAGGTATACGTTAGAGGGAGGAAGAAAACTCCATGCATGTTTTATGAATTAAAACTAGCCAGTGGGTGCTAGGAGGGCCAAATTAAAACATCAAATTAACTCGAAAACAACCTTTTTTATGTTTGGATCTTGATTTCGAAATCCTTGCGGAGTTGAAGGGTCTCGATTGCAATTGTCCCGAAAGTTGAACAATCTTCGAAGTTTCTCCCCTTCACCTTTCTACTCAGGCTCTAATAAACAATTCAACGCCAACGTGAAAATCATTTGGTTATCTCAAAGGTCGTGCTTATCCATTGTTTAACGTTATTATTAAAGAAAGACCGTTGATGCTGCTAAGTTGGTCAATGGTCATATATAACAAGCCAAGCAGCCTCTGTAACTCTTGAGAGAGAGAGAGAGAGAGAGAGAGAGAGAGAAGCAAGAATCTCTCCCTTTTGCAACACACCGACGCAAAGGTACCAAGCCCGGCAACAATGCTTTCCTTCTTCTTGTTCTTCATCACCACCACCACCAACCCCTCCTTTGTCCATTCTCAGTCACTCCCTCCGAGCCCAACCCCAAGCCTGAGTCGAAGCCCCAAAAGCATCTTCCTCCTCGCCGGGCAGAGCAACATGGCGGGCCGTGGCGGCGTGGTCAACGACACATCCACCGGGTGGGTCGCAACGTGGGACGGCGTCGTCCCTCCCGAGTGCGGCCGCAACCCGTCCATCCTCCGGCTCGCAGCAAACCTCACGTGGGTGGAGGCACGGGAGCCGCTCCACGCGGACATCGACACGAACAGGACAAACGGGATCGGCCCCGGTATGGCGTTCGCCAACGCCATTCTGGGCCGGGATCGGAGCCTGGGCTCGGTGGGGCTGGTGCCGTGCGCGATCGGCGGGACAAGGATAAGCGAGTGGGAGAGAGGGACGTTTCTGTACGACCAGTTGATGAGGCGGGCACGAGCCGGGACGAACGACGGCGGGACGATCAGAGCGCTCTTGTGGTACCAAGGAGAGAGCGACGCGGTGGAGAAGAGCGACGCCGTGCTGTACAAAGGGAGGTTGGAGAAGTTCTTTTCGGACGTGAGAGCTGATCTGCAGTCGCCGGAGCTACCAATTTTCCAGGTGATTGAATTAATCCCATCCTTCACCTTAGATTATTCAAACAGATTATGATAAAATTATAAACGAAAGTTGCTATTTAATTAAGCAAACGGCGATTGATGTGGTACGTCCTTAGTCTATTTTTTATTCAAGACCAGACAAGTAATAGTAAGATATGCCATTTTTATAGTACTAGCTTGCAAAAGGGTCCGGGTAAGTCCATGTGATGTGTTTCTTTTCTACGGCTTTTTGAATAGAATTAAATAATAAAAAAGAAACAGCACATTTAATGTTAAGAACCTAGGATGATCTACCCTTGGATATCTAGTGGAGACTCATGTGGGAACCTGTCGCCTTGCAAAAAATATTTGTTTCTGTTCGAGTGTCGCATCAAGTTTGTAGTTCTGGACGTTGAAGCTGAAAATTTGAACTAAATTTTCGAAAAATTGAAAGAATTTTGCCCGGATATTATTTAATGAGTTAAGATAATCGAAATTCGACCACGCATCTAATTAGATTAATAATTCGGACATCAAGAAATAGTGATATTCACACTAAATTCTCGAAAAGAAGAACGTACGTTTTCATGCATTTTTTTAATTCGCGTAAATGGAGTACATCTTTTGCTTAATTGCATGTTTGTTCTATGTTTGGGAGCAGGTGGCTATCGCGTCGGGCAGGGACCTTTCACCGAGACGGTGAGAGAGGCCCAGCTCGGGCTCGACCTTCCGAACGTGCGAACCGTCAACGCCAAGGGACTGCCTCTCGGACCTGACCAGCTCCACTTGACCACCCCGGCCCAGGTCCGGCTCGGCCAGATGCTAGCCGACGCTTTCCTTCAGTCTTGCTCTGCGTCGCTCCTGAGTGAAGCTTCCAATAGGGGTTCGAATCTTGTTTTCCACGTTTTGTCATTTTTTACGTGGAATTTTGTCAAAGCAGTTTTCATTGACAGGTGATTAATGATTTATGTTTTCTGTTTTTGGATTGGAAGGTAATTGACGATTCATTTG